TTGAGACAGTTTAGAAAAGATAGTGCATTACTAATAACTTTACTTTATTTCACTAAGAGAAAATAAATCTTGCCTGTAGGAATTACCCTAAAAAGGGAGTATCAATATAGTGTATAGTCAAAAGCTGTTTATTAAAGTAATAACAAGAAGGGCTATTCTTAGGTTTCTGTTCCTAAAAAATCCCAAAATGTGTTTACAATATTAAAGAGAAGAGAGGTGTCTGTTGCTTAATCACATTTAGGAAATTTAGTAGGGTTCATATATCTGTAAGCTAAGTGGCTAAGCAGCCAAGCAACTAAGTAATTTAGCAACTAAGCAATTAAGCATTAAGCAACTAAGCAACTAAGTGACTAAGTAACTAAATGATTACTAAGTGACCAAAATGTTCTAACAACTAATAACTAATGATTACTAAGTAACTAATTACTAAGTGACTAAGTGACTAAGTGACTAAGTGACTAAGTGACTAAGTAATTACTAATTAACTGAAATGTTCTGACAACTTCTATTAATAATAATAATACAATAATGAAATAACTAATACTAAATAATAATAATAATAATAATAATAAAATAATAATAATTAATAAAAATAAAATAATAATTCATTCTATAACACTATTAAAGATTTATACTATCTGTTTATTCAGGTCTTCTCAAATAAGCTTTGGTTTTTTAGTTTTACAGATTTATATAGCTACAAAAACTTATTTTAGGTTTGCACTATCTAATGCCAGTTTGCATTTTTCTGTATAACTTTAATATTGCACAGATGTTCTATGACCTGCCAGTTATGCTAATGTGATTATAGTTACAGATATCTTATTCAACTGATCAACAAAATGCTATCACTATAATACTACTTATGTATTACATAAGTAATTATCTAAATTTTTGTTATTAATAGGTTTTGTACTTACAATCTACTACTTGGAAGGTTGACAACTTATTCACTTTACTAAGTTATTATATTTCTTATTATATTAAGATTAATTTTAAAAATATACAATGTTATAAAAATAAATCCAAAAAATATATATATACTAAATAAGAAGTTTTGTTTAAAAATTTTAAGTAAAAAGATAATATATACAATATTTAATAATATTATTTATAATAATATTAATTTGAAAAAAAATCTAAAGAGTTAAATTATATAAACAAAAATTTTTAAATAAAAAAGATCTACTAATCTGATTATTAGTTAATTTAAATATAAATTACATTATACAGAGTTAACTAAATTGATAAAATAAAAAAACTTATAAAAATATATAAGATATTAATAAAATTGTAAAAAAAATATTAGAATTGTATAAATTCTATAAGAGTATAATAGTTCAATAATTAATTTTAACTATATACAAGTATTAGTTTCAACTATAGTAAAATATCAGATTAGCTATAAATTAGAATATAAAAGACTTTAATAAGTTTAGTATAAAGTTAAAGATTCCTTACATAAATGAATTACTTTAAAAACATAATAATTATGATAAATTTATAATAGTAATAACTAGAACAATTGATATATAGAATTAATAAATAAATAAATATAAGAACTGGAATATTTAAATAAAGAACTTACAAATAGATTTTAGATATAACAACTAATATAAAACCTTTAAACAGACTATTTAATTAAATAATAAATAAAGTTATATAAATAATTAGTTGTATATTCTTTTTATGATTGTTTTTATAATTATTATTTTACTAAAAATAAACAATATAAATTGCATCTTGTATAGTATAGAAATAGAAGGTTTTTTTTTCTTTAAATTTGGCAGTCTTGCTAATTGCTTTTTATTAAGATACTATATTTTCATACAAATATTTTTAAACTTAACATATTGAGTTAACATTTTGCAGTTACTTCTATGAGTACTTACAAGCAATCTGCCTATTTCAGATACCTAATTTTCTAAAAAAAAAGAGGATCTGAAAATACATTTAATCATCACTCTACAATAGGATATTACCAATCTGATAACATCTTTTTATAGAAAAGTAAAAGAAAACAAAAAAAACTAATTATATAACAAAAAAAACACAAATATATAAAGAATAAAGATAAAAGATACAAAATAAAAAATAAAAGAAAAAATTAAAAGAAAAAAAAAGAGATATACAACTTTTGCTATATGACTATCAAATAGTTACAATTATAAATCTGTGTTGAGCCTTAATTATAAACTATACTAAATAGAATTAATTCTACTATTATTCTATTTATTTAGAATATTTAGCAAAAGAAAAAACTATATTGAATAAAAATTTTAACTTGAATATAAAAAGTTAACATGAGCATTTATTAGTTTAGAAATAATGTTTTACAGAAGTTTGGCAGTTTGAGGCATATATATAAGTCATATTTGTATTGCTGTATTATTTTTACAATCCTGTTTAGAAAGTAAATACTAGTAACTATTTTGATGATTTTACATGTTAATTTTTTAAAAAGGGTAAACTAAATTGTTTACTTTTATAAAATTTTTCTTAAAAAAAATAGAGATATTAGATAAATCAAACTTTTGGCTTCTGTAAGTACTTGACTTTTTTGGGTATTTCTTATAGGTTTTACAGTTATATAAAAGTAATATATTCAACTTTGTTATTTACTTTATAAAAAACTTCTTGCTTTTACTAACTACTTTTTTATAGTTTTAAAGTACTTTTTAACTATTATTACAATATGATAACTTCTTTTTTAACTTTATTTTAATGTCTACTATGCATGTTTAGTACTTTAAAAAAGTTTTTATAAGGTTTAATATATTAACTATATCATTTTTTTGTAGTTCAGTTTTTTGAAAAGTTTGATTCAAATGATTATTAGAAAAAGTTGATTGGATTTTTTTTGAGTATAAAAATGTTAATTATATAATTTTAAATTATTTGATTATATAAAAATTACATATAATTGACCAATTATATTTAACTATACCAAAATTTAAATCTTTTATTTTTTAACTAAAAAAAGCTAATTTTCATTTACTTTTTTTATAATAATTTATTATTGTAAAAGATAAAATAATATTATTTAAAGTAACCATTTTATATATATTAGTTATTTATATATTATTTAATATTAAATAAAAGAGATGTGGTAACCTAGTGAAATGGTCAGATTGTCAACTTTCCAAGTAATAGATTGAATGTTCAAATCTCATTAATAGTGAAAATTTAAATAATTATTTATATAATATTTATATTATAGTAACCATTACTAATAATTAGGTTAGAATATCTGTAATTACAGTTGTATTAATATAACTGACAGGTTATAAAACATCTGTATAGTTATACAAAAAAATACAAACTAATAATTAGGCAATGCAAACATTAAATAAATCTTTGTAATTATGTAAATCTATTAAAATTAAATAACAAGAAATCTATTTAAAAAAACCCAAATATAGAGGTAGTCAGATTTTTGATAGTGTTACTATAAAGACTAGTTTAAAAAAATAAATACTAATGTTCTAGTATCTAGATAAACAAAAATCACTAAATTAAGAATCTTAGAGATATCATTAACCAGATTGCTAAAATAAACTAAAGAAAAAAATATTGAACTGATCTAATATACTAATGGACTGGTTGTAGTTCTATATAGGCTATTTGAATTGTGAGCCTGATAAAAAAATAAATTAAAAGACAAGAATATACTAAAGTACTAAGATTATGCTATAAAGTAGATGCTAGAGTTTATATAAATTCTACAAAAACATAGTAGTTAAATGATATAACTCTAACTGTATATATTAGTTCTGTTATAGCAATATTTAGATCAACTATAAAAATAGTACAGAAGACTCTAAGAGGTTTACTTCAAGAATAATATAATTCTAAGATTAAGATGATGATCTAAACATCTAGATATAATCTAGCAATATTAATACTAATTGCAAGTTTAAAGTAGAACACCCAAACAGAGATATTAGATATAACAATTAGTAGAGAACCTTTAGGTGAACTTTTTAAATAGATAATATAAAAAAGTTACATATGTAGCCAATTGTACACTCTTCTGTAGTGGCTCATAGAATCACATTACCAAAAAAATCATTAATAAAAAATTAAAAAACCAAAAAAGTCACCTTAATATTAAAAAAAAAATATCAAATAAATAAATAAAATATTAAAAGATTTCATAATAATAAAAAATGTTACACGGTCAATCCAATTCATGGAATAATACAAAGCTCATTCTAGAATGTAATTTTCTAATTTAGTAAAATCTCTGACTGTATTATCAAAAACAATTATTATATAGTTAAAACATACAATTAATAAAATCTTAAATTACAAATACTCATCTTAACTTTAAAAAAAAAAACAATATATATATATACAATATTCATAATATTTAAAATATTATATTACCAATTTTTAACAATAAATTAATAATTCTAATCTTTTTGACACAACAACAAAAATTAAATTACAACTTTAAAATAATCTCTAATTTACTACTAACATCCTTTAATATAACCAACCTATTATTGATGGATGTAACAAATCTATGCTTAAATTTCCATATAGCATTTATTATATAAAACAATATTCTTTACGGTACCTTTACCAAGTCTTTACATCTAAGCTCAGCCCATTTTTTCTCTTTTATTTTACGGAATCTAGACGACTCAGTTGATTTGCATCCTCCACATTTCTTAATGTCGGCTGGGTAAATCGTATTATGAAAGTTGGTGGATTAAAATGGATTAAAATGGTTTAAAAAGATATGTTTTTTTAGTATAGCACAAAAGCTTCAATTTTGCTTAGTGAATTAGTCACGTTTCTAGAATAGATCAGTATTGTAAAACAATATAAAAAAAGTTCGTGTAACTTCGACGGTTCCACCTGTTGGGAGAGCTAACTATGGTAGCCAATCACATAAAAATCCATTTTCGAGATTCACAATTGATGTCACTCCATTGCCATATGAAAAAGTTTGGATAAAACGCCAAAGCTTCTTCGATTGTCAAAGCAAAACTATGTCATTCATACCATTTACTTTACAAACTCTGGTCAATAACATAGTTCTTGAGGATTACCAACAGTTGAATCCTCAGAATGGCAACAGTGGAAATAGACTTAGTCGGCTTGGGAGTGGGATTGGTTGGGGAAATAAGGATAACAAAGTAACTGTTGAATCTGTGGAGGCTTGGGGTATGTTAAATACGATCCTTCATATAATATAAAAAAAAGAGACACTTATTAACATATTTTATTTTGTAGAAAATAATTTATACGTAGGCACTTCAGACGGGCAACTTTTTCATTATTTATTAGATGATCAAATATCATCCGAAGAGGTTTTGTATTTGTATTATTACTTTTGTAAAATCATTATTTATAAAATGATCGAAATAAATATATTTTTCTATAACCATTCGTTTAATTTATTTTATGACGATAATAGAATACGCCAAATAGTATTATTCTGTCCAAAAGATCTCTTGGTTTCGGGAAAAGAGTTGTTGAACGTATTGTACTTTTCCCGCAAATCAGCAAAGCCATTATTTTTTGTGGCAAGTTATTGCATATTTAAACTATATAATTCTTGTGAATACATCAATTATCAAAGAAATTGGCAAAGATTCTTATTCTTCATTTACTACATTTTGTTGATTTATTCAGACACTACACTATCTTTTTATTCTCTTCCTGAGATGATTCCTTTACCACCTCAAAATTTCCCCCATATAAAGAGTGTTTCTTGTTTTTGTTATGACATTTCTAAAGAAGGGAAAACTGATCAGGATGGTGCTGTTAGATTTTGCGCGATGAAGAGGAAAACAATATGCATTTATTCATTGGACAACGACTTTTTGAGTGAAGAAGGGGTAATTACCTAGTTTTAGTATTTCTAATTTTTATTTTTTATATGTCCATATAATATTTAAAAAATTTTCCTTGGTGGCCGGACTTTAATAGCAAATACCATTACCCGATGGTGCAATCATGGCTTGTCAATATGGTCCCTATGTATGTGCAGCAGATCATCATCAATATAAGTTGATTAATTTGCAAGAGAAACGTATGATACCTCTTATGCCATATGCGGATGCTGGCACTGAACAATTCAGGCCAATAATAACAATCATTTCTGAGAAAGAATTTCTGGTGGCTTTGCCAGCCAATTCTGGTCATATCCTTGGTTAATCTCACATTTCAATTATTGGTTATACTCGTAATACGATATTAGATTCCTTAATTATACTAATTATACAGACGACAATTGGTCAATTTATATCATTTGGATGCGAACCAGTCAGAGGGACTCTAGAGTGGCAAAGTTTTCCAAGGGCAATTGGTACTTACTTTATATTGATTCGTTCATAAATAATATCAATGGAATATTTATCTATTATTTACGTATAGGTGTCGATTATCCTTATTCTGTTGCGTTACTTCGCAATAATACTATTGAAATTCACAATATTATTGACCAACAACTTGTTCAACGTGTTACTTTATCATCAAAGACTAAAACGATATCAGCTGGCCCTGGGATTAAAGTACGAGTTGCTGGTTTGATGGATAGGTTAAAATTGGGGAATGTCTTTTCTAAATTTAATAACGATGATGTACAATATTCTCAATCTGGAGAAGACATGAGAAATGAACAATCAAACTTTTTCGCTACCGTCCCCACAAGGCTTATAATGGCCGGTAGTGAGTGTATTATGGCTTTGGTGACCACTCCTTTAGTCATTCAGGTATAAATTATCCTATATTTGACTTAAGTAAAGACATCTACTGAATGTGGTGATGTTTTTACTGGATTGATAGTGTTATGTGGTAGCTGCCGGTAGCATAATTGGCTTTATTCCAATTTGCTAATTCTTATATATCTATTCGTTCAAAGGAATGAGCCAGGATCGATCCTTGCTGCAGCACCTCGATATTTTTCTTCTTCAAAATATTACATGGTCCTAACTTTACGATAGTGTTTTATAATACCCTACCGTGGCAATGTTCGGACTATTTTATAGGTTTGCATACCACATGATTTAGGTCACTAGATCATGAGATATTGCGATTTAATTAAAGTGTTATGTACGAATTTGTATGAATTTGATTGTCAGTTTGTACGAACTTGGTATGCAAAACCTGAATAATTTAATATATTTTGAAGAAAAACAAATATCAAGGTACTGTGGCATGGATCGACCGAACTTTGCCCACAAAAAAATTAATCAAAAAATACCCCCTAACGTGACTTAAACCTAACCCTAAAGATTTCATCACCTAATCTTTCGATATAATATGGGAATTTTTTGTGTGATATCTACCCCAACGGATACAATATCTAGTCAGATATATGCATATGTATATGCATAATTAACCTATCGAATTTAATAATTTAAGTTTACATAACATGTTATCTATCACCTTGTGTTACTGACCTTATGATAGCTACCGATGTCTATATATGTCTGGCCGAAATTGTTTATGCTTATTCGAAACTAGTTACGAAGCCGTAATAGTTTCAATAAAGAAGAAACAATTTGACCACGCGTACTAATCATATGATTTTTTTTACATTATATTTATATAATTATTCTTTTTTGTAGGTTGATGCGATCCTAGATTCGAACTTTGAGCGTATTGAAGAGGCTTTAGAATCTGCAAATCGAGCAATAAGTACTGCGACACCCGAAAATGTTCATAGTGAAAGAATGGTAAGTTATAAATGATTTTGCAGGTTTTAACAGCAATCAGATGTTCATTGGAATTTAATGTTATTTTAATATTGTAATTGCTATAGCATCACGAATTCAATTATATTTATCAAAAATCCGGATTTGTCTATCTCGGGGAGACATATTTTGACCTAGCTTTCGGGTTGCTTGAAAAAGGAAAAGCTGATCCACGAATATTGATCCGCTTATTTAGTGATTTAAAAGATATAATTTGTGAGGATGAACCAATTTATATTTATTCTGGCGTTCTGTCGGTTTATAACCGTTTGGGTAGCATTGATGATATAGGTAATCAACATATTACATATTTTATTTTAGGCATTATGGTTTTCATTAACAAATTATGTATCTGTGAAATTCTGTAGTTTCAAAATGTCTTGTAAAGAGTTATGATCCACACACGATGCCAGATCTTGATAATAATCCTGGTGCACAGCAACTTCGTAAAGCTCTTTTCTCAACATCAAAAGAAATGCTGCAACAGTTTCTGGTGAAAGACCGTGAACAACGTAAAGTACCAGGACAGACTTTGTCAAAGAAAGACAAAGTTATTTTACGGGTAAGTGTAAACATATCTGTAAAAAAATTTTCTGCTTATATTCATTAATATTTGTCTTTAACTATAACAATAGGCTGTAGATAATGCACTTCTTCGGTTATATGCAGAATGTAATTATGATGATTTATTAAAAAGCCTATTAGAGAGCGAGAATGAATGCACTTTAGCTCTTTGCGAAAAATCTCTGATTGACGCTGAAGTAAATAATTTTAATAGGTTTTCTCGTTCAGATATTTTTAATCTACAGTAATTTGACATACAAGATATATAATCAATGCGACTATTTTAGAAAATTTATTACTTGGCCCTTCTTTATAAAGAAAAAAAGGAATACGCTAAAGCTTTGGAAATTTGGCATAGGTAAGTGCTTAAACTGAATAAACGAAAATTGATTTATTTTTTGTCGTTAAATAATTAATGATTTTTTGTAGCATTATTGAGAAGGAAAATCCTGAAAATGATTTACCAGACGGTTTACATCAAATAGTAGACTTGCTTGGAAAATGTGATAATCCAGAACTGTTGTGGAAATATGCAAGATGGGTAATCCAAAAAGATGAAATTTTGGGCGCAAAGGTTTAAATATTTTTAATTTTCTAAACATTACATCTTTACATTGTTTGAAACTAAAATCATATATTAATTTATATAGATATTCACTCAAATTGATCCAAAAAAAGCCATGATTGTTGAACCTAATAAAGTTTTATCCGAATTGAGGTCAGTCGGAAAAAATGGCTTAAAAATATTTTTGGAACATTTGGTGAATCTGCGTAAAAGTCAGGTTAGAATTTTTTTAAGCTCTAGAAGCCATATGTTCATAAAATTACATCAGATTATATACATTTTTTATAGGAAGACGCTTATCACACAGAGCTAGCACTTCTATATATACAAGAAATTATGGCTGAATTGCTCAAGGAAGAATCAAGGTTGAAATTCGAAGAAATAAGTATTGTATCAAATATATTACTTACTTTTTAGATGAAATTTATACTTAATATTAGTTTTATATATAATTTTAGATAATGAATTCATGAAAGGCTCGGAAGATCCTGGGCTAACATATTTGACATTTTTATTGAATCAAAATACCGACGATTCGTTATCACAGGCTCGGGCTAAGCTTATAATTTTTCTCCAATCTTCAACGAAATATAAAGCAGAAGAAATTTTAGTGAAACTAGAAGAGGTTGATGTATTGAAAGCAGAACTTGCTGTTGTTTATGGAAAGGTACCTGAAGTTTTTATTCTTTGATTGAAAATCATTCGGACAGCTCAAAGACTAATTGGATTTTAATTTTTCCGCTTAAAGCTAGGTCATCATGAAAATGCTTTGAATATCTTAATCCGTGATTTGAAAGATTATCGCGGTGCCGAAATTTATTGTCTTAGTGTGGGTCGTATAATTGGCATAGTTCGCAAAACTACTAAAAAACAAGTTGAAAAGAAAATTTCTGAAGAGAAAGCCCTTGTTTCGAATAGAAAATGTTTGTTTTTGATGTTGCTGAAAGTTTATCTTAAAATAGACAAAGAGTAATTATTTATAAAATTATAATACTTTAGGCGGCTATCATATTGATTTTTGATATTTATAATCTTGATCACATTTTAGTACAGGTGAATTGCTAGGAAAAATCATCCATTTATTAAATACACAAGCTGTGTATATGGATATCATGGTGGTAAATAATATTCATTCAATTCAAGATTTGTTTATTTTTCAATATGCTAATATATATGATTTTTATAACATGTAGGTTTTGGAGCTTCTCCCTGAATCTTGGTCAGTTGAGATGTTGAATGAATTTTTGGTTCGTTCTTTAAGACTAACCTACCATGAGTATAGAGAAGGTCAAATTCTCAAGGGTCTTTGTAAAGGCGAAAACACAACAGTAAGCAATAGTATAACTATCTATTATTTTTTATTATAAATAGGTTCGATTTTATGTGCTAAATAGATAAATTATTTATTTTTTATTTCTTATTTTTTTTTAATAGATAAATTTTGAATTATATAAAGCCTATCAAGAGGGCGAACCATCTGTTATTACACAGAATGTTACATGTTCATTATGTTCAAAATACATTAGTGGATCTGATTTCATGAAACAACCGAATAATGATATTATACATGTAAATTGCATTGATCAAAATGAAATCATTGATTCTACAAATCCAGTAAGCGCTTAGGTGAGTGTTATTTTATAATATTGATTTTTTTACTGCGATAGTTGTATATATAAAAACTTTTGTGTATAATTAGATAATTTTTGTGTATATGTATTGACATCATTGTTATAATAAATAATTTATTTTTGAAAAAAATATTATTGAGGCAGTTTAAGTTGGGAATTTAATATAAATTTTTAAATTTTTGGTGCTTTTTTTAGGGTTAGTTTAAGATTTCGAGTATATGGTATTATTATGTAATAAGAGTATATGCGAGTTTTGGCTTTTTATAGGCTTATATAGGACCTTAAAACCCAGCATTAGATACTACAATTATTAATTTAAAAAAATGTTTCTTGATATTAAACTTGATACAGTAAAAGATATTTGGGTAGAACTTTAATACAAGATTGGCATCGTAACAAGTACTAGTTGGTGACCTTATCTTTTTAGATACAGGGTTGTGACTAGAGATGCAGGCGGAACTTGTAGCATTGGGATGTGCCGTAACGTAACTGAGTTATAACTAGTTATAACTGCTTTAATTTACGTAAAATCTTTTACGTGAAATTAACATGCATATAGATAAATTAAAACCCGAAGTTATTTATGTTGCAGATACAGCTTTATTTTAAAAAAATTAGTTAAAACATATAGTTAAATTTATCTTTTTGTTATTTTATTAATTATTATTATATTATATATATTTAAAAAATTAAAATCAAATGAATTAAACATATTTTTTATCTCAATTTCATTAATATCTTCTATTTTCAAATCTGCATTTATCAAAACATTTGTTACAATATTTAAATTTTTTTTTCATTTTCTGTTTGATAAATAAGTATCATATTTGATAAACTTTATTGAATAATATTAATATTTTTTTGTAATATTTCAAAAATATTTTTTAATGATTTTTTATATACATTAATAATAACTTTAATACTAGTTATTCTATTTATTTTTTCTTCAAAAAACATAAATGGATTGTCAAAAGAAATTTTATTACTTTAATAAAATAACATTAAAAGTAATGAGGTTCTGTAGTCTAATGGTCTAGTTGTTTTTTCTTTCACAGATAAGGTTAACAGTTCAATTCCAGTTGGAGGCAAAACTCTGTAATTTACAAAAGCATATAAATGTACATGAAGTTCTGTGGTTAAGTTCATATGATTAGAAGATCAGTATATAAGGAAGTTTCCAGAAAGAAGTTTTTCAATATGGAGAGTTGATGCTTGATGTGAGAGAAGTAGTGAATATATTAGAAATAGAAAGAAGGTACACTAGCAGGTGATACAGTAAACATAAAAGGAAATTATAAAAAAAGAATAGATTTACTGAAATTTGAACATTTCTGACATCAAAACTGGTTCTAATAGATATAAGATCTACTAAAATTAGATAAATCTAAGAGTAATCTTGGTATTATACTTAGTAAGTTTGTATCAAAGGTAAATTCAAAGGATTATGGATACTTAGTAACATCTAATGAGATGGTATTTAGATATAAATAGTAATTAGATAGCCCTAATCTGTTCTGTTATAATATTTAATGATATATATTGTATATATATGCAATAAGTGTTAAAAATTAGAAAGTTTAAATAAGGAACTCACAGGTGGGTTTCAGATATGGCATCTAGTGGATAACCCATGGGTAGAACTCTTAATTAGATAATAAATAAAGTTATATGTGTGACTAGTTGTACTTTTGTTGATATATTCTGTATATAATATGTAATCTTATATAGCTAATAATAAAAAAACACAGGCAAGATCATCTTTGAAACTAAAAAAAATAAATATCATTAAATATTTTTTTAATTTTCTAAAAGCTTTATATTTTTTTTTAATTTTTCTCTTGATATCATTACTTTTTTTTTAAGTTTTTTTATAAATAATTATTTAATAAAACAATTAATTTTTTATTTCATCAATCTTTGTCTTTTTAAATTTTTTTTCAAATAAAAATGAATCTTCTTTTTCTAATACCCATATATAATATAGAACATCTAATAATAATTACTTATCTTATAATATATCATAAGTCTTTTTAATAGTTTTAGTAATAGATTTAATTTTTATTTGAGAAAAATATTTTCTTTAATCTTTAGTACTAAAGTTTTTCTATATTGATTAATTATATATATTATTTATTGATCTATAGTTTCTACTAAATTATGTTCTTTATCTCTTTAATTAGTTATCAACATATCAATTATTCTATACTATTTATTCAAATCAATACTTAGATACTAACTATTTTTATTATAATTTAGCTAATTCTCATTTCTATTAATATACTTATATTAATATATTTTTACTTTATCAAATTATTTAAACTTCTACTAACTAAATTGTTTTTAACAAATTATCTGATTTTAATATTTATCAAAAAAATAACCTAATTTATAAAATCTTTTATTATTCAACTTTTAATTTTTTATACTTCTTATTTAATATATTTTATCCTAATCTTAATCTTAAAAGGCTTATTCCAAAGTTATTTATATTGTAATAGAATTTATTTTTTTTCTATATTAGTATATATTTATTTTTAGCTCTATATTATATTTTATATTTTTTCTAATATTTTTATATAGTTTATAAATTATTTTATTAGTTTTAATCACCTATTTAATAGGTTAATATTTATTTTATTAGTAGATTTCTTATAGTATTTTATTTTAGCTAATAGTTGTTAGAATATCTAAAAATACAGTTGTTTAGTATTACAAGAGCCCTGATCAAAGGCTCCAGGTCATGCTTCAGATGCCCCAGAACATTCTAAAATGATGAAACAATTAATTTAATTATAGTTAATTAATATTTATTAATTATAATGCAATATTTATTATAATGTTACTATATAGTATTACAGGCAAAAAATTTATAACAACTCATATATCATGATATATTGCACAAGCACTGATCGGGACCCAAGATCAATTATGCATGATTGATTCCATAATGGTGAAACATGCATAATCATGCTCCCAACGTCAAAACAATTAATCCAATTGAATGTATTCAAATCAGGGATAGTGTGAAGTCATAAATACAGTGTTTCAAAGTAGCAGGATCTAGGTGGTAAAAGGTAGGTTAGTATAGTTATAATAAAATAAACTAAAAGTAAAACTAACAAAATCTACTACTTATCCAGTTTAGATGAAACCTGCAGTAGTACAATTATATAGTGACAAAATGGTGGGAAAATAGAGAGAGAAGCTAAAATTAAATAGAATTTGTTAGTAAATATAAAAGAATATAAAAAGCAAAGGGAAGTTTAATAAAATACTAATCTTTTGAGCATCCCAAATAAGAGAGAAAAAAAATCGAAATCATGATAATAATAAAAGTTATATTCGTCCAAATCTTTATTCATGTCTTGAAGTCTTATTACCCCAAATTCGTAACGTTATGCAGATTTTGTCTGTTGAAGTGACAGACTCGCTGTTTACCTATCACAATAGTTTCTAAATACTACTATAGTTATTTTTAGTTGTGCTTAGAAAAATACCTGTAAGAAGGCTTCTAAATACTAAATGACTATAGAGAGTTTTGTAGATAAACATATGAGCTATGCAATGATATTTGTTTTATTTTTAGTTAATATATAAGCTATTGCATAATGAAATGCCAAGTATTGATAAAAATAAAAAGATACAGAATTAGTTTACTATTTATACACAAGCATTATTGGTGAAATGCGTATAAAATTTCTTAATTTTTGCTGCATTTTGAATGTCCATATAGTTCAAAATAATGCTACAACACATGTTAATACTAAAACTAATCAATTATTAGACTAAAAGCTATAAAAAGGATAGTTTTTTGCTCTTCTAAAAGAACAATTCTTAGAAGTTCTTAAAGTTTTTAGAAGTTCTAAAATAGCTCTTAAATAACCTTCTTTTAAAGTTTTTTATCTATATAAAAATGCTTTTATATCTTAAATTATTCTTTAATAAAATATTATTTTACCTATTTTATTTTATTATTATTAATAAAATCTATTCTTTATTTTATTCTTTATTTTATTTTTCATTATAATTTATTTTTATTTAGTTTATTTTTCTTATAATAATATAAAGTAAAAAGCTAATTTTCTTAATTAGTTATTTGGCAAATACTAGCTTTATTTATTTATTTTTTTTTTAA